AATATGACAATGGTTTGCATCGGGCAATACTAAAACATACATATTGAAGAAACTTACATAGTCGCCTACGTATATTGCAGTACATTGTGGTGACTGAATTTGGTGGCTAAAACCATTTCGACTTATTGTGTAATATTGTGTTTTGTACGGTGTGTGGGAATAGGATGTAGCCACATGAGAGCAAAGCACACCGTCGCACAAGTGTCACACACTCATTGCAAATGCGAATATATTGAAGTTTGTATCTGTATTTAACAGTTGTATGGATTTTTTTTTCGTTTTTGCCAAGAATTCGTATGGATTCCGTTACAAACAGCAAATTCACTGATGTCACGATAAAATGCGAATCGAATTTAGCAAACGAATCGCGTTTTCCCTCTTACTTTCTTCTTTTTTCCTGCTTTCTATCATCCATCCATCGAATTAAATATAGAAATGAAATATTTTCGTAAATACGGACAGTGCAGACGCATTGGTAAAATGAACAAAACGAAAGACGAAGAAAAAAGCGCATTGTCATTGATGGCTGGGCGATGAACGTGTAGGATGAAATAAAGTGAAATAAAGATTTCACTTTGCATCGTTCTCCGACTCATCTCCGGCAAATACATCCCCCTTTTATGCTCACCGTCTTATTATTTGTTATGTCGCTTTTTGGCAATGGATATATATATATTGTGGCCGACGCGGGTTGGTGTGGCAGACCTTATTCCTTCTGACACGTCACAAATATATCTATTGATATGGATTTACCTTGCCAAAAACACTCATACTCTCTCGCACTTGCAATCGCACTCGGCACTGAGTCCTTACTCAGCATTCCGGACAAGGAATGACATTACAAGCGAAACACTACAATCAAGTTTAATGGAATGAGAAGTGCTATTGTGCGTTCTTCATATTATTTGTAGGTGAAATTCGAATGGAAACTTGCTTATATGCTTGGTTGATTTTTTTCGGCTTCGTCGTCGTTTTGTGTCTTGAAATTTTCTTTCTGTGTTTCTTACCTGGCTTATTATTTTTGTTTGAACGAGTGCTTTTTGATATCAGTTCATCCTTGCTTTCTCTGAATATATTCTTCTTTTTCAAATTTTTTTTTCTATTTTCATATTCTTTATTGCGGTATGTGTGTGTGTGAATATGTCTTTTCCCGTGTCATGCTCACACCCCTCCATCTACGCCACTCATTCAAACACACATTCGTTCACGCGTCATTCTTATAAATTCATAAATATATGGCTTTATAGGCACAACAACGCAATACTACTCCGTTTGCAACATAAAATCTTTGTTGCTGTTGTTGTTGTTATATAGAAGTCACATCTCTTTTACATAAGTAAAAAAAAGAAAATTTGAAATTCGCTGCTTTTTATTTTTTTCATGTACATTCTTTTTATACTGAAAAACGTTCATAACGGTGAATCTTCCAAATCCCAGACACGTACTAACATTTTATTTATATTTTATTTAATCTTTCGCATTTCCAAGCTTTACATACATTTCTATTTTCATGTTGGTTTCGATTTTTGGTGTGGTGTGTGTGTGTGTGTGTCGTTTTCAGTGCTTTTATGCTGAATGTGTTTCTTGTTTTTTTATTTTGCTCTAAAAATAGTTCAAGCAAGACTTGCTCGTTTACAAAGTAAAGCACCTTTATATTTTATTTACCTTTTCCAAGCCAAAAAACACACTCCGAATCGACCAGAATATCTTTTACACAAAAAAAGTTGTGAATAGAGAGCAAACAATAGAGAAAAAAAGTTTGTAGCATCTTTTTTACCTTTTTTTCGCCTCTCAACAACACAATTCAACGTCAACATAAATGCGATTAAAGTATATCGTTAAAAACGATTAAACTCATGGTAAAAGTACCGAAAAAGACCGAGTCAACGAAGAAAAGGACGACAGAGATAGAGCAAAATCAAAATCTATTGCATTATGGGAAATTACAAATTATCTTTATGCTTTATAAAATAAGTGCAGCTTATGCGAACACTATTAAACTTTATTATCAACTTTGTGTTGCATATAGATCTCTATATTTATATATTGTTTTGCCGTAATTTACTAAATATTCTTCATTTCGTTATTTCCAGAAATCCCTTCAGGCAAAAACGTTTCGTTTTGCATTGGACATAAATACGTTCACACAGTAGAGCCAGTGAATACCAACAGTGGCCAACAAAAATGAGGCAGATTAATGTATCGGTGGTCGGTATGTCCGGTACCGAAAAGGACAAAGGTCAAATTGGCGTTGGCAAATCATGTTTGTGCAATCGATTCGTGCGACCGTTAACCGACGACTACTTTATCGATCACATATCTGTTCTAAGCCAGGTAAATTCATCACACACTTGTAAAGCTTTTAATCAAATATTTACTCGTTTTCTTTTTCCTAACATTGTTTTATTTTTTCATCGTTTCTGTTCTCCATTCTATTCGGTTTCATCTCATCGCACTCCATTATCTTTGTTCGTTACAATCACTGTGTGTGCAATATTCAACAGTCGGATTTCAGCGGTCGCATTGTAAACAATGATCATTTTTTATACTGGGGAGATGTTCGTAAAACATCTGAGGATGGTACCGACTATCAATTTCATGTCATTGAACAAACTGAATTTGTGGACGATGCAACATTTCAACCGTTTAAAGTTGGAAAAATGGAATCATATATCAAACGTTGTACGGCTACAAAAATTGTATCAGCTGAAAAATTGATGTACATTTGCAAAAATCAATTAGGCATTGAAAAAGAGTACGAAGAACGTCTCATTCCCGATGGACGATTGGCAATTGATGGTTTTATTTGTGTGTTTGACGTAAGTCCCGTACCGAATCGGTCAATTGAAAAGCAAGTGGAATATGTGCAGCAAATCATAAATATATGCATGAAAAATAAAAAACCCATCGTACTGGTGACGACAAAAAACGACGAAGCCAATGAGCATTTTGTACGCGAAGCGGAAAAAATATGCCAACGCAAAGAGTACAAAGGCAATATATTTTTGGTTGAAACATCATCGCATGAAGCGATCAATGTGGACATTGCATTTTTATTGCTCGCTCAATTACTTGAAAAAATTAAAGTTCGCACAAAAATTCTCAGCTATAATGAGGCATCGCGTTCACGAAAAGAACTACTAGATTGCAGCACAGAAGCAGTCAGCCGATTGATACGCAGTCAAATTAGTGATTATCATACGACATGGAATCAAGCATCGAAAATGCTTGCAATACACAAAGATTGGCAAGAATTTTTGGAATTATTTGGACAAGAGGCTGGCCAACGGATTTTCCGACGTCATGTGAAAAAATTACGCGAAGACAATGTATCGCGTCGTCTACAGGCCTATATGCTTAATTTGAATAGTGTTCTACATGAATTTTTGCCCGATTTGCAAACGGTGAATCGTGAAATAAGCGGCGGCGATTGGAATCTGGTTCGTCCGTACATTAAAAGTCACACCGAATATGACCAATACTTTTTTGAATGCGAAGAAGCACCATGGATGGATCTGAGCGATGTTAGCGATTGCGAAGATGAGCCACGCATTCCATTTGATGTGCTTGAGACACCGGAAGCCGAAACTGTTTTCAAAAACCACTTGAACGCTCTGCAACAAGAACAAAAACGACTAGAGTAAGTAGTTTAGCTCGCTGTTATTAGCATTTTTTCTCTGTGTTTTTATTGTTTTTCTCATCTTAAGATGATCAAGCTCGAAGATGAATGAACTTATTAGATTTAAGACTTAATTCAGTTTAATAGTTAATGTATAACATTAATATCCGTAACGCTCTTCCACTTTTTCCTTTGCTAACAAACTAACAAAAAGGATGCCAAAGAGGTAAAAAAATATATTATATACATATATATCATTTGCGTCAGAAACAGCAACACAATTGAACATGCTAAAAATGTATACACCATCCAATTTGCTCCTTTTATTAATATGTTGTTGTGTTTTTCTTTCAGATGGAAGAAACAGTTCAAAAAACTTCTAGAAGAGGCGGGCTATGTTACACCCGGCAAGCAATTAGCCGAAGTGCGCGTATTATTCATGGGTCGTGAATGCTTTGAGGCACTATCCGAACATGATTGCCAGCAAATCTACGATAATCATCAAAAAGAGATTATCGAACGAGCAAAGCATAATTTTCAAGAGCTTCTACTTGAAAACGCCGACCTATTCTATCATTTCAAAAGCATCGAACCATCTGGTACGATAACGCAGGACGACATCAAAGAAATTACGGATGTATTACAAGATGACTCACGTTACAAAATACTTGACCGACTAGACCAAGATCGAAAATTAATGCTATTCCAGCATCTTGGTTTTATTCATGTTCCACTCCGAGAACATTGCCCGGCATTTCCAAATTGCGTCGATGCCATGGTTGAACGGATCATTGGCGCCAAAAAATCACAAAGGTATTCACAACACTCAAAATTCGACATTTATAGCTCCTCTTTATATATATATATATATTTTTGTTCGCAAATTGTTCATACGGAATTACGGCAATTTAAGTTACAAAAACCCATCGAAATAAAAGACACGCATTAAAATGCACGATGAAATTCAGTTTCATTGATTGCATGGTACAAAAAAGTGGAACTTTATTTAAATTGATTAAAATTTACTATAACCCCGATTGCAGTGGCACATGAAACTGCAAGAAATGAGTGTGCTTCCATTATTAGATTTAAACCATAATATTTTTTTACTCGTGTTAACGTCAATAACTTTACAAACTTAATGAGGTTATTCCACAATGAAATTCACTTGAGTGCATTTAACCTGATTTAAAAGTTGGTTGTAATACCTTAATCGTGTGCATGCTTTATCCATAACATTTTCTCCTGTTTGTTGAAGTTATTAGCCGTGGGGAACATATTTGGTTTAAATTTTTTTGTTTCATTCACATTTCATGTCATTTTGTAAAAATAGTTTCGATAAAATTCCACTTCATTTTCCATATTTCACACATTTTGCGAGGCTAATGGTCTCTACGATACTGATGAAGCCAATGGACCGTTCGATGGAAAGAAAATTGAACGAAAATAAAAAAATATGGAGAATTTCCCAATTGATAGTCATTATTTAATCGAAACCAATAGTGCTGAACACATACGCTTTAATCAAATTCTCAATGAATTTATATTGAAATCACAAATCATTGCTCATCACATAATTTGATTTAATTAAAACGTTACCGTCAACTGCGGCCACTGTAAGGCGAATGTTTGCATGTGTGGGTGTGCTGCCGTTTACGGTGGCTGCACACATGTGCAATCAAATTCAGCCACAACGTATGATGCATTTATGTATATATATATATGAAGAGTTTTCTGTTTCGTGTTTGATAGTTATTACAACAATTATTCATTTGCATTTCACACATAGTTTATCAAGAAATCATTGGAAGCAGTCGTCATCGTTTCCGCCCAGCGATTGTACACTGAATGTATTAGTTCTCGGTGCCGAGCAATTAGCTAGCGATATAATTAATGAAATTTGTTTGAATTGTGGCGACGATGGAGAATACATATACGATGGTCAACCATACTATTTGCATACGCGCATCATAAATGGCAGCGACCACGAGACATTTAAAAATATCGATTTTCACACAAGCGGATTAATTTGCGTGTACTCAAATCAACATACGGTTGAATATTTAAAAGATAACTTGGAACGGAGTTTACTGTTTAATTTAGAAATGGAAGATAAATTCGAATGCATTCCATTGGTGTTGGTCTATCAGCCGGAAGATCAAAAGGATGACAACGAAATTGAAATTTTGCGCAACGAAGGCCAACATCTGGCCGACATGTGAGTACATTTGACAAATATATGCATAAGCCGTCAGTGGTGGTGATGGTGGTGCTGCATCCGATGTTTGGAAACCACTGATTCCATTCAAACGTATCACCCATCCACTTGACTCGTTTTATTCAATATTGGCATTTGCTATTGTTAACTTTTACCACTTTGTCTTCCCCCTCTCTCTTTCCGCCGCTCGACTTTGCCTCATTCCCAATCGAAAATTTAGGTTGCACTGCACATTCATCGATACGTCGTTGAATTTCTACCATCATCGTAAATCACAGCACCAAAATTACATTTACAATATTTTGAATAACATTATTGAATGCATTCGACTGACCGAACATCAAAAGCCGGACGATCTGTATCAATGTGATGCACAGCCAGACATTCGAATCATCGTGTGCATGTTTTGCGGTGATCCATTTTCCGTTGAGAGCATCCTAAGTCCGATACTATCCGAGCCAACGAGCACGATGTCCAGCGAACGTAGTGTGATATTTGAATCGTTTTTGGGTGATACAAAACGGAAAATCGAAGTGATTTTCTCATCGTATCACGGTGCCAATGCATTCCGCGATGAACTGGTGCACGGTTTTATACTGTTGTATTCGACAAAACGACGTGCTTCGTTAGCAACGTTGAAGTAAGTGCATTTGATTTTCTCTCTGACATTCAAGTCACGGTCTTTCAGATCAATAGAAACTTTAAACGTATTTTTCTTTGTGTTCTTCTGTTTATGCAGTGCATTCTCAATGAATATTCCAAACTTGCCGATGCAACTAATTGCCATTACGGACAATGGCGGAGCAAATGCATTTTTCAACAATGAATTATGTCAGATGTTAATTACAGAAGGGAACACCGTTGCTGAGAAATTACGCGCACACTTTATGACATCAGCCGGAGGAAATCAGTTGAAATGTAATTTATCATTTTATCACAATTAATTTTTTTTTTTAATTTTTGAATAAATTGATCAATGAAGATAAGAAGGAAAGAAAGAAAATAAGTTTTTTTTATCGATTTTGATTCATTTTGCAGTTACGTTTTATACACCGTTCTTGCAAGAAGTTTGGGAAAAGAAACCGGAAATCGAACAAGCTTTTCATATGGAAGAACCAGTTACATTGGACTCCGGCGAAGGTACGCTTGAACATTCGACACACCATTTGCCGCAACCACCGCCGCGTCATGACAGTTATATGCTTAAGAATGCTGACGGTTCCGGCAGCGAAAATTATGAACATCTACCCACACGATCACTTAATTCACTCAACGGGGGCGATGATAACAACATCAATTTCAATTTGAACGATAATAATGAGAAATACCCACATTTGTATATGCTCGGCGAAAAGGATATGGGCATTGATGATTCGTACTTGAACGATGATGATAAGGATGATAAAACTAGACTTATTCACCAAGGTAACGAGTCAAGTACACACATTCTATTCAGATTTATTAAGCAAAACTATATCCACATTTCGCATTCATAATATTATACAGAAAGAAAGAAAAAACCCAAAACTAACATATATCATCATAAAATACCCATTTTGCATGCTGATTGAAATTTCTTTTTTTTTTAAACCGCTATTGCTACCTAATTAACATCGCTTTTGTACTATATTTTATATCCATATACATATATACATCAGATTGCTCATTTAAATCCATATAACCAAACCACAAAAAAGATAAAGAATTTCACCCAAAAATATTTTCATCTCAACCCATCAATTTTCATTCGACAAAAAAAAAAATCACATCATTAAAACTCACAAACATCCATCAAATAATTAAAAACATTGTTGAAATTGTAATAACCAAAACTCATATCGTACAAAATTTTCTCTCTCTCTCTCTTTCTCTCTCTTCCCTCATATTTTGTGTCTTCCTCACTTCGTCCGACGCTCGAATTTAATTGCAAACTTTTGCATACACATAATCTTTTTTTGTGTATATATCAAATGCGTTCAACCGAAACGAAATTATCCATGGTTTGTTTACTTTACTCCTGCGACTGTGCACCCCCTCCGACCAATCAAATAAAAAACAAAAAATGAAATTCAAATCCATAAATCAAAACAACAAACATAATCCAACGCAAATAATGACTCAATATTTAACATAATTACAACTCACCAAAAACCGAACGAATGAATGCAAACAAACACTACGAACTCCGAAACTGGCAAAAATACTTAAAAAAATGCGTCCCGACGATAAAACTGTGCGATAAACGAATAAAAAAAAGGCTTTCAGATATATCCACCGCCAACGACACCTCCCGAGCCAGCACCACCTGATCATATCGGAACGTCGTCAATGATGCGACAATATAAAAGCAATTTGGTTTCAGCCTCACAGTCCAGTCTAGACGACATCACATGTAAACCGAAATCATTTAACTTTTTTTTATAAGAAAAATTGCTCTCACACTCTCTCGCTATGTCTCTCTGATTTGACTTGTATCTGTTTGTTTTGTTTTGTTGGCCACAAAATAAGCTCAAGAGGCTTGCGATTGACTATGATAGAAAAAACTGCACAAATTTCACTAGATTTGCTGTCACAATAGTGTTTTTTTTTTGTTTATGCTTTGTTGTTTCCGATGAAAGTCTAGTTGCCGGCCAAGACAAATGTGTTGAGGTCCACTTGTCGATTCAAATAAATATAGAAATGTTGTTAGTTTTTTTTAGTAAAAAAATAAATAAAATAAGAATCGACCACAAACTTGCACCACTACCACCAAGCTTTCAGCACAACAGCAAATTCTCTTCCATTTTGCCTTTTTCGCCACTCTCTAGATATATATTATCACTCACACGATTCTCTATCGCACCCGAGTGTCTCACAATTTATTTGTAGTTCTTGTCAAATTTATTGTCTGTCTATCTGTCTGTTCGTTTGTGTGTCATGACTTCCATTCATTGTTGCTTATTTTTGTTGGATTTCGTCTGCTGTCGAGCTCCAAAAAGTGCACCACTGAAACCGTTATCCTTTTTTTAAGCAACACACTGTGAACGGGACCACTCTCTTTTCTTTCGTAGCATACATTTTTTGGATTTGTTATCTTTGTCGTAGCTATCGAATAATCTTCATTTGCTATTCATTTATGTGTTTTTTTTTCTTCCTTCGTCGTATGTGTTGGTTGGTGTCAACCTTAATTTTATATGTATATTTGGTTTTTTGGTCTTTTTTGGTATTCGCTTCAGTGAGTAATTGCAAGAAGTGACCGGGGACAGTCACCCCTGGCAATATTTCTTCATACCATGTCGTATTTTAATTTAAAAGTTTTCATTGTGTGTGGCATAGAATTAATTATTCGCATTATTTTTCTCAATTCTTGTATAAAAAAGGGGTACTTTTGGTCATCCGTTATTATTGCTTGGATTATTATTTGTAGTTTGTGTGAGTAAGCCGTAGAAATGAGCACAATTCTTGGATTTTAATTTCAATTTTTTGTTACATTATCTTTGTGCTGACATTTTATCTTTCTCTCAAAATTTCATGTTGTTTAATAACAAAAAAAAAAACCAACATAATGTATTACAGCCGACGTAAGTGGTTCGAAGGATTCATTAACAACTCACGACTCAGGTTAATCTCTTCAAAATCCATATTCATTTGCATAATTACATTCAATTCGTCTTTCTTCTTCTTTATTTTCTATTTTCACCACTTTGTTGATGTTATTTCACAATTTTTTTTTCTCGTCTTGAATTCGTTGAGCTTCTGATGCTCAAATGTTTGCAATTTTCATTTTTTTCTGTTATATTTACGTCGAAAGCCTTCAAGGGCTATTTTCCATTTTATTTTTCAGTCTCTCTTTTCTTTTCATTTTCGTTTCGGTTTTTTTTTCGTTTCGTGTTGCCAATAGAAATCGAGCGTTGAAGATTGTAGATTTTAATCTAAAGCTTTTTTCTTTGCTAATTGAAATTAAATAGGTTGGCTGGACGATGCACAATATAACGATAAGCGCGGCGGTGTAGGCATTAGCGGAATCGCTGGTTTGGGTAGCAGCTCGGGTGAAAAAGAAGGTCGACGAAACATACTATGGAACAATTTCAGTTCACATCATGCATTCACAACAGGACGTCATCCACGTCAAAGCGACACAAATTTTGGTAGTAAAGTTCGACCAAAGGGACCTAGTCAAACGCTTAAGGTAAATAATCATCATTTATCTGATAGAAATCAAAACTGATTTAAATGAACCATTTTTCTTATCTCCCTCTGTCTCTTTCGCATTATATAGCAACCGGGCAAATTGAACTTGAAAAATTTCGCCATTGTTAACGATGCACTGGCCCGCATGAATGTCAACAGTGATAATAATATGCAAGAAGGTGATAAAACTAAAAATAAAAAACTTTCTAAAAATTCTACCAAAAAATCAACATCTAAATCAAAAACAAAATGCTCTGCTCCCCTTGCTGCACCTGAAGACGATTCGGATGATTTGGCGGAATATGCACAAGTCAAAGATGTGTACGGTTTGGATGGCGTTGTTGGAACTGCACCGGATCCGACCATCTTCAACTTTACCCATCACGATGGCACATCATCTACATCCAAATCCAACAGTAAGACGCGACATCGACGTGATAAAGGACCAAGTACACATTAGACTCTTTTGTTTTGTTCAGTTGCATTCTATTTTTTTTGGACATTTTTGCTTTTGATTTTTGAATTGTTTTTGATTTGATTTTGTTGGTTGCATTACCTTTTGTTGTTGTTGTTTTTTTTGTTTTGTTTTTCTGCATTTGCTGAATAGGGATTTAAGTGAACGGTGTCCATTAATATTATCACAATGATTATGGTAACTAATCGAAATGTTTGCATTCTCTTTTCGCAGAATATTCTGAATCAGATAGTGAGTCAAGCTCATCGGAACAAAAGAATCGCAGCGGACTTGATGGTTATTATAAAATGAATCGCAAAGCTCAAACACACAAACGAATGCGAAAGAAGCGAACAGCGATACCTGTTCAACCGCCAAAAGTACCATTTGGTACTTATGTTTGTCCACCAGAAATTCCATCGTCTCTCTATCAAAAAATGAAAAATGAAACCAAGAAAATAAGCACATTGGAAAAAGGTACATTGCATTTGACAAAATAAATTGGATCGGGATTTTAATTGGGTTTAATTTGATGCCATTAGGTAAAATGTACGGTGATGTACAAGAGGAGGAGTCAAGCATAGATGTCTCATCGCCACGTGACAATAACTCACCAATCGTACGTTGCTATCTCATTTTTTTCTTCTTCGAAGAACTCTTATTTTCACTTAAATGTCTAGATTTTGTAATAGCCCCAGCATCATCAGATTTGAGATCAAATGATTTTACAAATCAACAAATCATTATTTGAGATGATGCATTCACATAGATGATGACGTAAAAAAATTTAGGGGGGTGATGGCAAAATTCCGTAGGGGGTCCCTGAAAAAATCCATGGGGGGTCCCTGACGATGTCAACAATTTGTACGAAATGAGGATAAAATCTTTTTTTTTTTGAAAGTCACTTTTTGAGGCGGAAATCCCTAGCAAATCGGAAGAATTTTCTCGGCCAAAAAAAGTGAAGGGCAAAAAAAAGGTCCTCATTTCCAAAATTGTTGAGGGTTCCTAAAAATATTTTGGGGGGGTCATCCGACCCCTAAGAACCCTCGTCATCACCTATGATGCATTCAAATCAAGTAAATGATTTGATTTTTTGTGACTTGATTTGAAATAATTTATTATATTTGAGCAATTTTTGATTTTAATTTCGAAATCCAACATTGACAACGTTAAATTTTAGTTCGGTGTTGTGCCAAAGCTGAAGGACAATGATCGTGAAAAATTGCTGGAGCGTAAACGTGAAAAGCAAAAATTGGCTGCCAGCAAAGAAGAGGAAAAATTGGAAAAACGAAGAGCCAAAGACGAAGCAGCCAAATTGAGAAAGCTCATGGATAAAGAAAAGGAATTGGAAAAGAAAATGAAACGCAAATCCAAACCGAATGGAAAAAATATGGTCGAGGGCACCGCACTATCCGACTTTTTGCAATCGGAAAAGAATTTAGTTCCATTGTTTATGGAAAAATGTGTCGAATTTATCGAACAAGAGGGCTTAGATTCGGAGGGTATTTATCGAGTGCCCGGTAACCGAGCACACGTCGAACTATTGTATCAAAAATTGCAAGAGGGTGAGTGTATATGTCACATTTGACGCTTGAAACGTCTTATTCATTTGTTTTTTCAATTTCGTCTTAGAACCAAATGCTGATATCGATGTAATGGATATTCCTGTGAATGCAGTTGCAACTGCATTGAAAGATTTCTTTTCGAAGCATCTACCGCCCCTCTTTGAAAAAGATGTAATGAAGGAACTCGAAGAAATCGCAGGTAATTTTTTTAAATTTATTAAAAATTGATATATTTAAAAACGACTGCCCACATCTAATGAAATTTATCTATTATAATCGAACATTTTTCATGTGAAAATTAAAAAAGTATAAGCCATCGAACAATGAGTGCATTTTAAATGTGCCAACTTCACAAAATCGCTGACACTATTATTTGCGAATTATTTATAAATATCGACTTATTTATTAACAAAAAAACTAATTACAGCGTCAATTTTGTCCCGAAACGGAGCCCCATCAAACTTAAATATGGAAGTGAAAACCGATCGAAGCTGTCGACTGCTTGCACTCCGAGGTCTACTCAACAAGTTACCGCCAATCAATTTCTCCATCTTGAAATACATTTTCCAACATTTTGTACGGTAAGCATTAAATTGAACGATTTTCCTTTACCTTGCAATTTAAATGTTATAGCTTTGATTGGAAAGCCAATCAATTATTCAAAATTTGAAAACGGCTTGATTTGTCCGTTTTTTTCATTGATATAACGATATCGACGAGATTATTTATTATTAATTTCTCTTTCTATTTTTTATGTTCTCCATCGTTCTCGGAAATTAGTGTGTCTGAAAATTCGAAACTCAACAGTATGGATAGCAAGAACTTGGCAATTTGCTGGTGGCCAACATTGATTCCAATTCATTTCACTGATATGATGCATTTCGAGCAATTGCGACCCTATTTGGAAGACATCGTACAAACAATGATCGATCAATATCCATTTTTATTCTGTGGCAAAGAAGCGTTTGTCATGGTTTAGAGCGATTTAGTATACCAATTGAATGATATTATAAATAATTAATCATTTAAATGCAAATGTAATTGTGTCCGTTTTTATTTATTTGTTATAAAATGGAAATGAAATGAAACAGAAAAAATGCATCGGTTAAATGAAGAAAATGCAAATTATGTCAATCATATATTAAAATGACAAAGAAAAAGCGAAGAATAAGAAGAAAAAAACAGACAAAGAACTATTTGAAGTCAAGATGAACTTTATCACAAAGATGGAAAAATTAGAAATTGTGGCGAAAAAAGAGAACAGAAATTTACTGTCACCACATTCAATTTCCAAAAGCCGAGGTTAGTGAATTTGCGAAACGGAAATCAACATTTTAAATTTAGAAATAAAAACGGAAATTGGCTGACGCACACAAAAAAGGAACTAATTGAGTAGACATATTACCGAGTAATCGAATTCTTGTGAATGCACTTAAACAAATTTATTATAGAACACTAACAACAAAAATCAGCTGACACGATCAGATAATAAATCAGATTTTAAAATAATTAAGCATACCGATCAAATACAAATGAAATGGAACATCAATATCACCCGCTCTTAATCAGTAGAAATCAAATACATTGCATGCAAACGTTGAAGCCAAATAAACTAATTACAAATAAATAAATAAATAAAAAACAAATAATAATTCTTTTCCCATTCGCTTAACGCACAACTTATAGGTAGTAAAATGAGAAAATAGTTTATATTCTTGATGTGAAACATGTAGAAAGCAAACCAATGAAATATAACAAACAAAAACACACAAATATAACCAAACTCGAACACGCTCACATTGTCAAAGTAAAACTCCTTTAAATGCGATTCAATCGAAGCCCCAAAACTGAATATCACTAACATCAATAAATGCTCTCATCCAACAATGAACGTTTAAATATAAATATTAGTACGATGCCCCGAAAAATGGTCCAAAAAATAAATTTTATTGTTTCATCCTTGAAAAAAATCACCCTTTTCAAGTCGTAATCTTCCTCGCACTATATTTCAGTTTGGTATTTTTTGTCGAATGTTGTGGTCTTCCTGTCGGCTTTCTTTTCGTTCAAAGCGATATTTTCGGGGCGAATCGATTTAATTTATCGATATATAAGTAGAATCTCTCTTTGATGAACAAAAAAATCATCAAATTGAAATTGTTGAAATCGGACAAAACGCCACTTCGTTGACGAACAATCGAACTACTTGATCGAACGAATAAATAGACAAGAAAGAAATCTCTCTTCTTATAAAAAAACGGCGATATCTTTTGCTGTGCAAATGGAATAAAACAACAAATTGCGCTTCAACCAAAACATTCCGTTTTTATTTTCATTTTTTTATGAATTAATAATCTGAATAACAAAATTCAATGCCATTAAAATTATAATTGTAGAAAAATAGATTTTAAAAGAACAAATATTTTGTGTTCGTGTATTGCGAATGCCAGAATAAATATTGTAAAACGCTTTTTTCATTGAAAACATGACGGGACATCTTTATAAACAAAACAAATAGAATAAATCACATTTTTTCGTGTAAAATTTCTTTGATATATATTATTTTTATTTTTGAATAAATACAATGAGTTCATAGTTTTGTGTAAATATTTAGTTTTCAAATTGAAATTCCTGAATTTTAAATGCAAATGGGTATTCAACAACACATTTATCCCACAATTATAACGTAGATAGTCATATATAGCAAATAGAAATCAGTTAATAACTTACATTGAAATTGTTGCCATTTCAAAATGCGAAAAAAAAGTACACACATTTTATTTAAAACACTTTTATCATTTTTTTCTCGTTATTTTGCTTGTTTTTTCTTAGTGTAAATTTTGTTGTTTTAATTTGTGTGTATTTTATGTTTTATAATATTTTTCTTCTTTATTTCAAACGGAACAAATGAACAAAACTCAGTGTGTACATTATTATTTGTTATTTGATATATTTTTTTTTGTACGTTGAAGGCCACATATTTGGACTACCGACTAGATCCCACGCCGAATATACTGAATGCCATCAATGTATAAGATCGTTCGTAGTGACTATTTGCATTTTCTGCCGTAGCAAAAAAAAAAAAAAAATACAAACAAATTATAAAATCTAGTGTATTATTGAGAAATGGCAAGCATCATTAATTATAAATTCAAAATAAACAAATAAATTTTTATATTGTAGCGAGAGAGAGAGAGAGAGATAAAAAAATGCAAGTGACAAGAATCGATATTATTTTTGTGTATATGTTTAGAGATCAAAATGGGAAACTACAATAGGATTTGTGAAAAAATTCTCTACATATTTTATCGATATTATGATGTCTATTCTCATCAATGTGAATTTCAAAAAAAAAAAAAAAAAATCTCTGAACGTTATTATTATGTGTGAGCTGTGCCCTGATCAAGTGGCGAAAGATATAGAGAGACAGAGAGTCAATGCAATTCTTATTGAATTGCAAATTTCCGTTGTCCACATTCTGGCACTTTCATTCAAAACAACATATTTACGAAAATGGCTTTAAAACGAACAAAACTAAACAAAATATGTATGTCAATATTGAAATTTAAGCATCGTTCAACACAATTCTAAATATGATTGATTCTTTTTTAACTCAGCCCACACAAAACCATCGAGTGAATTTTGTTGAACGATCTTACATTTCAGAAAAAGTGACTCAAACGATTTATAAAAGAAAGGGTCTTATGCACCATTTTCATTATGAATTATCTTCAATGGAATATACGAGCATATGTAATCGCAGGCTGTTTCTTTCGCTCGTGAATTAAGATATAAAACAAAGGAAGATTTAGAAATGAAGAATTCATTAAAAGGAGTCTCTCTTTAGAATTAAAAATGATATCAATTATAAATGTTGTGTATAAAAAATAAAATCAATGACAAAAAAAAAAAACAGAATAAAATCATAGGAAAATAAAGACGATCTAAATGTGCACAATCATCTGTGTTTTTCATATATTATTTTCGATCCCGTTTCTTTTTTCGTTTATTTTCAGTCCGTAGATTAGTTTCTTTCATTGAATCTTTTTGTTTTCAGCTGTATGTTATCGTTTCTATTTCTGCACTTAAATTCTGTCCTCTTTGCTTTCACATTTTCGATTTCCAACAAGCCCCATCGCACATTTGAAAAAAAAAACATGTCTATGCTTTTTGTACATTTTGACATTTTGACGACAATAGTCAATAAATCAAAGAATTTCCTAAAAAATTATATGAAACATCAAACGAAGATGAAATCAAGTGACAGCATGGTGTAATACGGTTGTAAATGGAAATCAAAACTTTTTTTATTCACATGAACAATGGATTCAATTAGACAGAGTGTCATATGGGTAGATCGAAGAAAACAACTTAGTTACAATTTAGTGAATGATTTATTTTGATATGTTTTTACTCAAATTTTAACGAAACAATAAAAAAAACACTTGGACATTATCATTAGTAGCACGAAAGCGATAAAACAATATAACATTTTTATATAATGATTGTTTTTTTAAAGGTGAAAGAATTTTTTTATGTAAAGAAACAAAAATGTTGGAAATTAAGCGTGTGCTGGATTTATAAGTGGCTTATTTTCTCTTTCTTTCCACTCATTTTATTCATTGAATTTGAAATGTCTTTTTTTCCATTAAATTCTTGATTCATTTAATTTATTTCAATACCCATTCAAAAAAATGCACTTAAAAAAATGAAAAAATGTGTCAAGAGTGAAACTCTTAAAGAACGTCTTGTAATGCATGGAAATGATTTGAAGAAGACAAAGAAAATACCTACAATTTACAAAAATGAAATAAATTACCTGATACTTCCACCACATATGACTAAGTTTAACTAACTATTTATAGAGCCGATGTAAAACAATAAACTCGATAATTTTAACGAAAAACAAATTGACCATTTGACAGCACCTTTAACTAAATCCATATTTGAGCACACTGAATCTTGAATTCTATTTTCTGTACTGAACAATATTCGTTCTATCTACGCCTAATATCTTTTAGTATTGGATTATATAAAAATAAAACAAAAAGTTCGTACAATGAATAGAAATAAATAATGATGGAAATAAAATCCATTGGGAGCGATTGTTATGAATTTTATTTGCGATTTGACCAATACAATGAGTTATTTACAAGATTTTCGTAAATTTTCCAAATAAAATAACCAATTTCCACATCATAGAAATAGTTGATGTGATGATTAAAAAGAAACCGTAGCTAACCGATATGCGCATCTTTTGATCTATCATTCCTCAGCTTTTTTTACCATTTTAATTGTATTGTGTTAAATGTAGAGAAATGAAGAAATGTCAAATGAAGGAAGCAAATGATGAGAATGTCCAAAACTCAAAATGAAAATTAGCTAAGTAAATGTTTTATACTGATTCAAATTATTACTTATGAAAATATATAAAAAAGAACACAACCAACTACGATTTAGAGAATTAAAATGAATTTATGGAACCAATTCGACAAGAACAATAAAATAATGGGAAAAGACTATGTCTTTTTTTCTTTTTCTAAAAATTGATCGCTGATCATCGGCGACCAAATACACCAGCTAATACAAAAACGTACAGTTTTTTTTCTAATTGACAATGTAAGAGGTTGGTTGAAGAAGGGAATTGTCACAGACACACACATACAACAAGAGAACCCATTGACAAATTAAACGAGCTTCGCCAAGACATATGACACTTAAAAATATGAACAAAGAAATCAAGCATTTAATCAGCTACTTCAAACTTAAGCAACCATTTGTTATATCGAAATATTGAAACAAATAAAATCGGAGCAAAGAATAATAACCAGTAATAGAGCATTGAAAACATTTCTATTCCGAAAGAAACAAGCAGAATTCATTCTTTCAAGCCCCATTTAGTACTAGCGCGCATTAGATTAAGTCTACGGTTTTTTTGATGCGAATGTAACATGTACATATATGTCACAGGGAGAGAGTGAAAATTTCAAGAGAATGATGATACCAAAGAGAATTTTTAATGCGTTGTCGCTTGTTTTGACTTTGTTCTGCCTGTTTGAAATAAAAAATATATATATATGAAAATATCAGAGCAAACTAGTAAGAAAGCGGCGGTAAATGCCCCGTTTCTTACTAACAATGGAATTTTTATTCATTCACCCCACAGTTGATTAAATAACACACTATCGTTACGAAACAAAAATCATTTCAAATTCCGTGTTTGCAACAACAATGAATATTCACATAAAATAAATAAACAATTTATTGTACTATAAATGTGTAAACAATGATTACTAAATACATCTACAAAAATAAACAAAAATCTAGTTTTTTTCTTAAATTTCAGAAAAAAATGACTAAAAATAGAATCGACAAATAAAAAAACTTTTCACACTTCACAGCATACATTGTATGCTATCTTGCTTTCTATTCAAAACCTACGACAATCACGTGGAACCCTCAATCGCCAGTCTCTGAAGAGACAACACCGTATTTTTAGATTATGTTTGCTGTCAAAATGGTTCTAAACCGCGTTGGTTGTTGATACAAGATGTCTGCCAAAGAATATTCATAGCCTTGTTGGCGCAGTTGGCAGCGCGTCAGTCTCATAATCTGAAGGTCGTGAGTTCAAGCCTCACACAGGGCAATTTTTTTTTATTCGTACTTTTAACGCTTTTTCAGCTGCCGAAAAATGAAAAACATTTTTTTTAATTTATTCAAAATATATATTGAAATTTAAATAAAAAATCAACTGTTTGTCTATTAAAAGGCATCTTAAATAGAACCAAGGTTTGAAAAAGAACTAAATTGCGTTGAATTTTGTTGGTGTTACAGCGTAAAATTGTGATTTTTTTTTCGATAAACAAAACAAAATTCAATTTTGATTTTATTCGGATTACCTCAGTTTTTCGATTTGTTCACACAGCACCAATGTCATCATAGACACTATTATATTATGCGTTTCACGTCGTTCACTTAAAACTACTGCGACATCGCCACACTCCAAATACGTTATTTTAAAATTCACTCACGATTATTTTTTCGTTCATGGCACGTACTAACTTTGAAAATGGACGTTTGAATGCTGTGAATCGCTACTGCTGGTGGCCAAGTCGATTGTATAAAAGCCAAAATTGATTTGGCAAAGGTATCAGTTTTTGTTTATCATTCGAATAAGCCAAATAAACTTTATAAAAATGTACAAAGTCGTAAGTATTTTTTCTATAAATTTTGCTTGAGTTTGTGCAATGTGTTGTTTGTTCTAATGATAAGATTTTTGTTATACAAATTTATTTATCTTTTTTTATTCAAAAGTTGTTCTTCGTCTTCATGGTTATTGCCTGCGTTTGTGCAAAGCCAAAACCAGATACAGTTCTCGCATACAGTGCTCCCGTTGTAGCTGCTCCATTGGCCACAAGCAGCCAATACTTTGCTCGTGAGTTGCGATTTTAAACAACCAATTAAAAATAAAAAGGTCAATTTTAAAGTTTTTTTTTAATTTTATGAATTCATAGGTAACACATCTCCATATGTATCTTATCCATATGTTGCCGCCTATTCAGCTCCATACGTAGCCGCTGCTCCATATTCCGCCTATACATCAGCAGTTCTTTTGTAAATTAAGCGATTTTTGCTTTTTTTTTTAAATATATTGTGATCAAAAAGTAAAATTTGCTATGGAATAAAGAACTCATTCCAACAGTATACAATTTTGTTTTTTTTTTTCTATTGAAAAATGTAAATCTTTTACGTGAAAATAAAACATAGATTTTTATAAATTTGTCAGCACAAGTTATTTCTTTAGAAGTCAAGAATACTATCGTATTTGGAACCAAACATCGAGAGGCGATACACTCCAAATTCATCTTTTTTTCTTTAAACAACAGTTGAAAAAAAAATGTTTTTGACAAGTCGATATGAAATCGGGCATTCGTTCACCTCTGCCAATAAGATTAATAGAATTTTATACAATATATTTACACACCCAACAGTAATATTATCAATCGTCATCGTATTTTTCTTCGTCATCGATCGATCATTGGAATATCCAAATTGAATGTAAGCACAAAGCGGAGACGTCATTACACTCGTAAAATGCTTTCTGTTGGTTCATTTAAATTCAAAGTCAAACTCTCACTTTTCTACGATGTTTCGTAAAGACGTGTCATATAAACATATGCTAAAAGCAAAGAGTATAAACGCGTTCGTTGGTTCTTTTTAATTTATATTTCGTTGAAACTTTCACCAATCTTTGAATTATGTCATCGACGATATAAAAGAAAAGTGAAGAATCATTCCGGTTCAGTATTCGTTTCAAAATTCACCTCTTCGGATCAAACTTAAATAAATCTTCAAACATGAAATTCTTTATTGTTTTAATTGTACTTTGTGCATTCACTTCAGTCATATCGGCACGTAAGTTCTGAACATTTCAAGTGTTTATTTAATAATACGATATTAAAGTGATTCGTTTTAATTTTTCATCAGTTCCAAAGATATCGAAAGCAGAACGGTGAGTGAAAAACCAACAAAAAAATATGCTACAATTTGAAATTATATGACTTTTTGAATTTTAAACAAATTTCTTCATTTATTTACCATGTACGACCTACAGTGCAAATGATGATTTTTGGGACGGTATTTATAGAATGTTTTTTTTCATGTCAATGTGTTGGAAATGAAAGTGTCTTTAATTTTATGCAGTTGTTGCAGAGAAAGCCGAGCATAATATCTTTGAAGGTCTTTTTGACATGATTTTATTCGGAATTACCGGAGGCAAAGGCCGCGACGAAACTACTCGGCTCCATGTGGCTGCTCGAAGAGGTAACACAAATCATAAAAGACTGCATTCCACGCACTCAATCCATATTTGTAGGTAATCTTAAACAAGTGAAGGATGAAATCGACTACGATGAAGATGTTGATGCCGTTGATTTTCGTGGCAATACAGCACTTCATGAAGCCATTTTGAATGGTATAGATATTAATACTTTCAAAAATTTGAATATGTTTTGAAAATGGCTGAAATGTTAAACTGATGAAATGGTTTTAGGTAATGCCAATGTTGTGAAACTTCTTTTGGAAAATGATGCAGACATTACCGTTGAAAATGACGATGGAAAAACACCAATTGATGTGGCTTTGGAACAAGGACGGGACAAAATTCACAAAATGCTTCTTAAAGCTGAAGAGAGTGAGATTGAAGATCGACAACTTAGACTAAAATACTTGAAGAAAGCGCTATTTTAGTATTTAAAAAAGTTACTATTTATTGTCGGTACAAAATCAAACAAGTAATAAAAATTTACATGAAAAACAACTAGCATGATTTTCTCTTTTATTTTGTTGTTTTAACTATTTTTATGTGTTAACAGTGTCAGATAGCTTGATAAAATGCAGGGATTGTTCCTCTGAGGAGGAGGAATGGTGAGGAGGAAAATGAG